TGGAGTTTTGAATGAAGGCTTTTTGCTGTTAAAAGTTATTCTGGTCTGGTTTAGTACTGACAGTTTGTCTTCAATCAAAACTCAGCTTCATCAGTTTGGATTCAGCTTTCTCCAGACATCATACCTACTTTCAAACACACAACATGATCAAAAGTATGTGGACAGCCTTATCGTGTCTGGGTTAACTCCCTTAGATCCAATTAAAGGAAACCTTAAAGAGGACATTTTGTGCTTTCGTGTGTGTTTATATAGATTTATTTTGGGCATGTAAGTCCACGGCAAAGAAAGTTACTGTCTCCCACAGAAAACACTGCTCCTGCACTGCCTGATATAGCTCCCTTTGTATTCAGCCTTTTCTTTCATTACAGTATTACACCACACATTAAAGCACGTAATTCTATTATAACAGACCCTTCAAATACAAGTATGAACCTGAAAATGAGCATAATATGACCTCTTCAATTTTGCAGCACACCATGATATTTTAGACTGTAGTGTGTTTCCAACTTTGTGGCAACAGTTCGTGTTTCAACATGACAATGCCCACATGCACAAAGCCAGCTCCATAATGAAATGGTTTTCTCAGTTTTGGTTTTGGAGAACTTGACTGGTCTGCCCAGAGGCCTGACCTGTGAGCCAGATCTTATTAAAAAACATTAGCTGCAAAGACTGATGCTGTTGTGCCTCAATCGGAACAAATATCTGCAGCCAGGTTTCAAAATGTGGTGGAAAGCCATAAAACAGAAGAGGAAGCAGCAGGTTTAATGGCTATGGGTTTGGACTGAGGTGTTCAGGTGGGCAGAGCTGCTGTGAGCCAATCAGACTTTGTAGAACATCCTCTTGAGCTGCAGTTCACTCTCGATTTCTTGAGGATTTTGAGGTGAAGGTAAATGCAATATGATCAAAGCTGAGTAATGTAATCACTAAACTAGTCTGTGTGCGGTTCACCTGCTGGCTTTGGGGACATAATCTCAGGCCTCTAATGTTTATACCTGTGCTCTACTCGATTTACTGCTAAGGTGCCCTTAATCAAGATACTTAATCCTCAGTTTGTGCAATACAGCTGCTTAACAGTAGAGGGAGAGTGGTACAAAACAACTCCCCCATGTGTATCTGTATGAAGAGTGTGAGTTGGAAAACACGTTTTCTGTCCTTGAATATTAGTTAAATATGACAATCAAAAGTGCGCTGTTGTCATTTGTAGTGTATGTTTTTGTGTTCTAATTACAATCACATTTAAAGTTCTCTGATATGTCCTAATGGAAGTTAGCACAGATTTGTCAGAAGCCATACCAGCATCCTCATTTTGTTAACTGCCTGCAAACATTGTTGTAAATTGAGTCGGCCTCTTTCCGCAGTGCTGTCATAAGCTGCTCATTAATGGGAGGGCTTCAGCCTGTCTGGATGGGAGGGAGAATTCCCTGCAGGCCGCCCAATGGCCCCAGGACATTCTGTTTTTCTGTGTCATTATGAAGATGATTGACAGGCAGCGAAATTACAATTTCAGGGGCACAAGCAGCCCCTTGCCCCTCCCTGTGCAACCAGCTTTTGTTCATGAGAATTGCATGTTAGGACTGAAACATCCCCAAAAAACGTTCCCTTTTCAGCTCACTGGAGTGGTGTGAAGAACAGACGATGAAGGCTGCAGCAGCACATATAGAGGTCAATTGAATTCTCAGCATAGTGTCCCATTTATACATTTATGTTACCACATGTCTTCGCTTGATTGGCATAATGAGACTGAGTCATCTCACTCTAGTCACTGCGGGAAACAAATTGTTTTCATGATTTCCCTCGAGAGTTTGCATTTGAGTCGAACTTTTGAAATTAAAAACTTAAAGTATTTTTGTTTTCGCCTCCCTAAGCTCTGACCTTTCTCTCCTCCCTGCCACTCCTCATTCTCTGTATGATTTTGTAATTGGACAGAAAAGACTAGTAGACTATTTTCCTCAACCCCCACCTTCCCCACCACCAGCCAGCTGCAGGGTCGGTGTCAGCAGCGGCAGCTCTGTAATTGTCTGGTAATTACAGTCGAGATGGGCTGCGCGTCGAGGACTAATCGCCCCTCCTTAACAAGCTGAACTCAATTAGAGCGTAGAATTTAAGGGCCGTCCGCTGTCCTGACATTGGAAGATGGTGTCATAATAAATCCCCACTGTGAGGGACAATGCACCACACCACCTGCAGTACCGCTGTGTGACACCAGAGGGCAGTGTCTGCCTGTGAATGTGGAGCTCGCACAGATGCCACTCTCCTCTGGGAGACCATGATGACTTGCACTGCATTGTACTGACTGAAGGTGATGTACTGCAGTCTTCCACAAGCTTTCCGGCTCACATCAGCCACCGGTTTTTGTTGTTTGTTTTGGTTGTTTGTACAGACTCATGATAGGTGCACACTGTCACACATACACATTTAAAAACAACCCTGAAGGAATCCATCACCATATGCATTCATTTCTTTACCCAGTAAGCAGTGACTTGATGATTTTGTTGTCTGGGTTAAAACTAGGCTAAAAGTTATCAGAGTGACAGTTTTCTGACGTTTAGGTTTTATATCACTGTTGTTTACCAGGATTTCAAAACTTAAGTATAGTCATTGAAATAATGTTGAAAAAGTGGTTATACCTAACCTAGACATCTAAGTTCCAGTGGTTTCCAACATGAAAATGGTTGAAATGCCTGTAATGTATATCTACCTTGCGGCCATACACTTTGATGGAGGATCAGAGGTAGGCCTCGCTTAATTTTAAGGTTGGCAACCGCAGGTCTAAGCAACTTCATAGCAATCATACCAAGCCTGTTAGGCCCATTAGCATTGCGAGGGAGGTCAGATCAGAAGCTTTTTATCTAAATCCAATACCGAATCTACTTATCGAATCTGCATCCTTTTATGTTCCTTATTGAATCTCATTACGTTTAGCCTCTCACATTTGCAGGTAACCAAAAGTATAACGACTCAAAGCTTTACATCTGAACTTTTAGTTGGCTTAGAGGCCACAAACATGGTAGGTTTTAATGGCAGCCAAACTCATATTCAGAACCTTTCACTCTTTCACAACCTGAAAATGAGATCAGTAGAGGAGAATAGCCTCATTTCTCACACGCTACTTGCTCTAAATACTGGAGGCCATGAATGAAACCATATTTTATCTCTTATATCTCTCACATGCCTGCGACACACACGGCTAGCTGCATCTTCCTGGTGTGATTGTTGCCCCTGTAGCCGTCAGGCCCTCGGTTTCATGGTCAAGGACGCTTTGACAAGTGACTCATTGATTGACACAAGGATATGAGCTGTTAAAGGTCTCGCTAACCACCCATGGCATGTCAGCTGAATTTCCAACTGCTGAAGACATGTATGATTTAATATGTGGGCACAGGTCAACAGTTTGACCTCTCTGTGTCTTCTTTTCATTGCAGCATGTGATGAGTGGACAGTGCTGCCTCGACCGGACCTCTACCACGACGTCAATCGCTTTGGACACTCTGCGGTCTTCAGTGACAGGTAATCATTTATGCACCACTGAACTAAAAGCAGTTTGCAAAGTGCTTTACACAGTGGCCTTTCTCGATATTATGGATTTAGATAATAAGATAAGAACAACATAAAGATAACAATTTAAACAGAAACAAACATTAATTTGGATACAATCATTCCATTAAATAATGGTGATGAGACTCTGACTAAACCTGCTGGGGCCTACTTTTGTCGCTTACTTTAAATAAGATAAGATAGACTTCATTGATCCCATATCGGGGAAATTCGCTTGTTACAGCAGCTCCAGATACAACAAAACCACATAAAAGAGTGAGATAAGAAAATACACACAAAAAAATACAAATAATAAAACTACTACTACTACTACTACTACTACTACTACTACTACTACTACCACTACTACCATACTAAATAATAAAAAATAGAAGATGTAATAGAAATAGGTATAATTGCACAGCGCAAGTGTAATATAATATAATCTTAATGTGTATTATACGATAAAATAAGATATTTATGTAGTATGTGCATATATATATGTGTGTGATCATGTGCATATATAATATGAATAAATATGAATAAGTAGGGTGTATAACTTGAAATAATATAAAAAAGTAGCTGTGATGTAAAAAAAGGCAACAAACAGTGCTACATTGTGTCATGCTTGTGCTAAAGAGTCTGCCTGCCGTCGGAACGAAGGACCACCGGTAGCGCTCCTTCTTCACTGTGGGTGTAACAGTCTGTTCATGAACGAGCTGCTCAGGCCCCCCACAGTCTTATGCAGGGGGTGAGAGGTGTTGTTCATGATTGACGTCAGCTTGGCAAACATCCTCCTCTCACCCACCTCCCCCATGGCATCCAGGGGGCAATCCAGGACGGAGCTTTTTCTGTCCCTCTCCGTGCTTCCACCTCCCCAGCAGACGACAGCGTAGAAGACTGCAGATGCCACCACAGTGTCAGAAAATGTTCTTAACAGTGTCACACTCCAAAGGACCTCAGACGACTTTGGCCTTTTTGTACAGGACTTCTGTGTTTGACCACCAGTTTATTGTTGAGGTGAACACCCAGGAATTTGTAATCTCTACCACCTCAATGTCCAATCCCTGGATGTTCACCGGTGTGGTCTGGGGTGTTTTTACTCCAGAAGTCCATCACCATCTCATTTGTCCTGCTGGCAAATTCAGTCGTGGTATTCATATAGACTGTACATACTAAAACTAGACATGCATTGATGTCTTTTTTCTTTTTTTTTAGCTATGGATCCTTAAACTCCAAATAATTAAATCAAAATTTTGCCAAAAACTGGTACAGATAAATCAAAATAAGTTGACTCACACAGCTGAGCAGTATACCATTCTTAGAATTTAGACATATGTACACTCAATCCATCTTGGCCCAATAAAGGAAGAAAGAAAGCTTACTGTCTTCATAAAGACGGGTGACTAATTAAAGGGCAGATCTGAATAAATGAGAAGACATAACAAATACATGAATAGTGTGATGAGGTTGAAGAATATGTGAATCATGCTGTGTCTTTCACGGCCACCTAATTTGAACCAACCTGAACACAAAGAGAGATATGTCAAAATGTATAGATCACGGAAAATATACCACTCTTGTATAGGGAGTAGGTGGGGTAAAAATCTGCACAGAAACACGTTCAGCTTTCCTGTCTTAACCCAATTTCTCTCGGTAACCTTGTTTCTTGAGCGCATGTAAACCAGAGTGACAGGTTTTAGTTCCACTGGGGCCCACACATGTTTAATAATGCACTCATGGTATTTAAAGACACGTTGAAATGGAATACGTTATACAAACAACCATGTTCAGTATGTTTCTGCATCTAATGTAAACACACAATTTTGATAGTATGGGACTGTTTAGCTTTTCTAGTGGGAAATTAAAGTTTTCTTGGTTCCCTTCCTGGTTATTTTATTCATGATCACATTTCTGTGCACTTTTAACAAGTGTAGAAATCTGAAAACTGCACAGACATTCAGCAGAGGCTATTATAGGGTGACAAAGGGGGGAAATATAGGAAAATAAACTGAGAGATCCACTGTTTGGCGGTTAAAAAAAAAAAAATTGCTCCTGAGAAAGTAAAGCTCATTATCAGTGCCAGCAAAGGTTTCAGTTCATAACTTCAGACAAAGGAACCATAATGTTGAGAACAAAACTGTTTTTCCAAGTATTGACTGAAGAACTTCATATAGAAAGAAGCTCAAATATCTCTAAATCGACATGTTGTTCCTTCAAAACCTTCAAATCTACTTCACATGTTTGTTGAGAGACAAACCCACTTAAATGTCCCTTTGACATACCTGAAAATGTGACTCCAAACTGCACTTAAATGTGGTAAATGTGATTTGGACCACATATGAAAGTGGCCCAAACCAGAACTGAAAATATCATGATTTCATCATCAGACTTTTGCTCTTCAAACTATCTATAAGAAATAAATAAATCACATTTGGACAATTTGTGCCTGCAGTCTGAAGGCAGCCATATTGTAATCTTCATCCACAGTTTGGATGATTTGCTAACTTCCTTTATACGCCCGATCATTTAGTATTTAACTCTTGATTGCTTCACTCATGCTGGACATTGTAAATAAAAATATTTAGGAATTTCCAGTGTGCAAATCATCTCTGATTATTACATGAATCATTTTCTGAAACTGGATGTGCTTGCAGAACATTTCTAATTATTGATTACTATATAATGACAAAAATGTGAGGACATTTGCATATGGTGCTTGTTTTCCAGTATTCAAATTCAGAAATCAACATGCTGAGTTGACAAAGAAAAACAATCTTAGAACAACCAAGAACAACTGACAACTTAAACCCTAAACCTTGTTACCTTGGAGTATAATCCTTTGCGCGTTCATACATGACGTTTCATTATTAGTCTGCGATACAAATAGATTGTTATGGAGATGGTGCTGCGACCAGAAGGGATGACTCATCTGTAAGTATTATCTGCACCGCCAGCAGAGCAAGACACAGCAAGCCATATTAAATTATACATCCTGTTGTAGAGAACGCATCAAATATTAACATGAATCACCAGCCCTGTTCGAGTCAATCCTCACTGATGACTCCTGTTCCTCAGGAGCAATTAAGAGTTTATTCATGTGTTCATTCATCGATCCAATTCAGATTCAACACAATCGACGAGTTCAAGACAGCGCCGATATTCAGCTTTTAACTTTTTTTTTTTTTTTTTTTTACAATTCACAGTAGGTCTTAAAAACAAATTGATGAAATTCATAATAGTAAAATCAAATGGAAAATGTAGTCCAGAGGAAATTGGTCAAAATTCTGAGAATCTGCAAAATGAACTGAGAAGTTCTACAAAGGGTAAAGGAAGTGATGTGAGGAAGGTTGAGCCTAACTGAAGTTTTAGTTTGAATGCTGATGGGAGAATACTGATGTTGTGTGTGTATATATTATATAAATATGGAGGACACCTTCATTTATGATTTAAGTCAAAAACAATAAAATAAGGAGAAATATCATCTGCCGTAACCCCTATTTTAGCTTTTCTGCATTAGTCTCCAGTTGATTTTCGAATCAATATTTACGGTTTGTTCTATTTTTAAAGCACTCTGCAACATAGATTTTATTTTCCCCATCTATGTACCTACACTCACCCTCAGATCTTGCTACAAAACTCTGCTAGTACTCCCCCGGTCTAGACTTGAAACTAAAGGAAAGAGAGGAGTGCTTTTGCTGTCTGGCCCCCCCAAAGTCTTCCACTTTAAATTTGTCAGACGGAATACCTTTTTAATGAGCAACAGTACATCCAATTAACCATTTATTTGACCATTTACTCATTAGTTCATCATATATATGCTTGTGTGAAGCCCTTTGCATAGCTTAAAGCATCAGTTCAGACCTCTCTGTCAACAGTTTTCATTTGAACTACTTCCTACTAAAGAAATTGTCTCTATGGAAACCGTCAATATTTTTTCCAGGGTTACCTCTGGGAAGAAATTTCTTTCATGCACAAAGCTCCACAAAACATTTAATTCACCTCTGTTGTATTTAGGTGTAGACAGAAATCTCAGAGATGGATATCTGGACTGTTAAAAGAAAGTGAGACATGTTTTTTTTTTTTCTGTAATTTGGGAGAAGTGACCCTTTTCAATACACCTTTTACTTTCTCGGTCGTCCTTTGTTTTTCTACAGTGACTCACATCTCACATGTGGTCACACATTCTCCTCCTCCTGATCCTTGCACTCAGCAGGATGTCCAGAGGGAAGTGTGCCCTCTATGATCTGAGGGGAATTATGATCAGACTGGTGCAAATTACCCATCCACCCTGCACAGCCACAGCCACAGCCACAGAGACACACACACACACAGAGACTCGCACACTAATCCCAGCAGCTGAACAGAGGCCAGTAGAGAAAGATGTTCAGAAATGCCCTAGACCCGGCATCCAAACACACACACACACAGCAGGGGGGTCTGTCAGGTCTGTCCGCACAGGAAGGGAGTTCTTGTTGGGGATTTAGCAGACTTGTGAGGCAGGTTGAAGCCCCAGAGAACAGGGAGAGCACTCGGACTAAGCTTCTCTGGCTTTCAGTGTGCAAGAAAGGTCGAAACCGGGGAGAATTGTGGGGCAGAAATCGTCTCGTTTTACTTCCTGAATCCTTCCCCTTTAGCCCTCTAACATCTTCTTTTCTTCTTTGTCTTACAGTGTTATGTACGTGTTTGGAGGCTTCAACAGCTTGCTGCTCAGTGACGTCCTCATGTACACCTCGCCCAGCTGCTCTGCCTTCTCCAGCTCGGCGTCCTGCAACCAGGCCTGGCCGGGGATCCAGTGCGTCTGGAACAACACCCAGGGGACCTGCCTGCCGTGGGAGAGCATCACTGTCGGAACCGAACAGCAGCAGCAGCTACCAGCCTCCTGTAACACACGATCATGTAGGTGACATCGCTTTGAAATCCTGCATTGGAGCTTGTCTGTCCTGTGAATCTAATCTGGGAGGATCTTAGATTCTTCCTGTCTTTTCTTGAGTGTCTGCACAACTCATCTGCATTCACGACAGGGATGTCTGAAGGCATGCAGAGACTCTGCCAGAAACAGCTTGTTTGTCAAGGACTGCCAATGCAGTCTTGCAAATCAGAGAGTGAAAATAGCAAAAGAAAATGACACGGGGTGTTTTTTCTTTTTTTGTGCGTGCGTATAAGATTTTGAAGTGTAGAAAACTTGGGCTTTGTGCACCTTTTTTTATTTTTTTTTTTTAGATATAGTCCAGTTGATGTCATTTCTGTATGTGTTTTGAGGTGCTGAAACAGGATCAGCTGTTGATCAACAGAAAATTATTAACAAGAACTTTGATGATCATTTAAGTCATTTATCAGGCCCAAATGCCAAGCATTCTCCATGTGAGAGTTTACTTTTCAGACATTTTATGAACAAAACTATTAAACCATTAATAGTTGAGGGGAAAAAACGCAAATCAGTCAATATTGAAAACAGTTGTTAGTTGCAGAAGTATCCAGAAAGTGTTCAGATTTCATCAATTCATCATTTTTTTCCTAAAACGAATTTATAATGATGATGATATTTATTAGCCTTAGCCTTTTATGATTACCTGAGTGTCTGTGGAGCGTGGATGTGTGCGTTGATGTGTCCAATAAACACTTCATTTAACAAGTTAGTTATTTTTCTCCAAAATGCCCCAGTTCTGTGGTTCTGCTGCCCTGTGTGCGTGTGCGTGTGCGTGTGCGTGTGCGTGCGTGTCAGATAGGACAGAAAGAGGTAATCATCGGGGACAGTTCAGCCAGGTCTCTTCACTTCCCGCTGAGATTTCTCTTCTGTTGGCCATTTGTCACAAAAAAAATCTTCAGTTCCCCCAACACGGCCGGTCTCATTTTCCGGTGCCGCTTCCTACAGAAGCGCCTGCAGATGGGAACTGCACCCCGGAATATCTTTCAGGCACATTTAATACCAGGGAGGCCTTCCTGGTCTGCTGCTGTCTGGCAGTCACCCTGCCCCAGTTTCCCCAGAAGAAACCTCATGGCTAGGAAGTGTTGACTGATCTGTGGTACATGGCAGAATCAGAATTGCTTAAACTGCTGTGTAAGAAAGCTAATTAGATTTTCTCTGCTTTCTTTTTATACCTGAAGGTCAAATTCTCAATAAGAATTTTCAATAGTTGAAACGGTATATTAACATAAACTGTGAAAAGTGTGAAGTTGGTGCCACATTCTCCTGATAAAACAGCAAAGAATACTGACAAGAATAAAGATTTGTCCACCACTGACGTTTGGTAAATGACTACCTCTTAACAGCCACCTTCCAAAAGTGGCCAATTTACTCACCAGACAGGACATCTGGAACCTGCACAGTCAGGTTAAATTTGTTTTCTTCCCTTCAAACTATCATTTCTGTCTGTTTTGTCATAAAAGTATACATTGTTTTGTTTTTTTATTTATCCACCATGTTCTTCCAAATGTTGCAGATGCTGATAACGAGAGGTGTGACCAGTATACAGACTGCTACAGTTGCACTGCAAACACAAACAGCTGCCAGTGGTGCACCGGCCAGTGTGTGTCTCTGGGAAGCAACTGCACCTCTGCCACGGTAAGATGCTAACCCTGCTAACTCCAAGCCTGCTGATTGAGTAGATTGGCTATTTTAAATATTAAAACCATTGTAATGTTTTCGTTGGAGAACCATGGCCTTTCATGCTACAGTGCTTTCAAAGCTGGCTCATCTTCTCTCTTCTCATTTGAACATTGAAAACTGTCATAATTGGAAGTTCTGATGCTGTGTAACGAAACTTTTTTGCCATTTAAGCTGTAATTTTAAGACGCGTTCTAATACATGAATAAGCAGTCTCCCTATAATTTCGAACAGTCATAGGCTCTTTGAAGCACATAATGATGAATGCTGGGGCACTTGGTTCCTGTAGCCAATTCAGCTCCAATAACAAGAATAAGGATACACACATGTTTTGACCAGCCTTCCTTTCATTTCCTCCACAAGTTATTACAACTTATAAATTGGGAAAAATTTGAATAATCATTAAAGTACTGATGAGGCACGTTGTTGTTTCCGACTCACATCTGATTTCTCTGTGATTAAATTACTGCTTATTCAGATGCAATATGGCACCCAGAGGCAGTTCATGCATCATATTTCCAGCATTCTTATCTGCACTTGTCTAAAATATTTGATTACTAAGGGTCAGTCTGTCTCACTACAATTATTTGGTAATCTAATACTTGTGATAACCTGGCATTCTACTCAAATAGCTGCATTGTCAGTAAGAAAATTTCATTTTGGACATAATAACATTGATACTGATTATGTCCACAAACACAGTTTCAATGAAAGTTTCATGAATCTATAAAGAGCTGGATCATTAAACTCATAATCAAATAACATTTAATTTGTGTCATTTATGCAGCATGAAATGTAATAATTAGGTAAATTGAGTTGAGTTGACAGCTGTTATTTTCTGATTTTTCCCAGGGGGCCATAGGAGAGTATGAAGTTTGCCCCAAGGACAACCCCTCATATGTGTGCAACAAGAAAACCAGCTGCAAGAGCTGCGCTGTGGACCAGAACTGTCAGTGGGAACCTCGCAACCAGGAGTGCATCTCACTGCCAGGTAACTGTGCTTTTATTTTTAAAACTGTGGGTTATTTTCATGGATTTTTTTTTCAGTTATGTGAACAATTTACACATAAACTTAATCGGTATCAGCTATATTGAGCTTTAATGACCCCATCCGATCCATTGTTTATGTCACCTGTCGCACAGCCATTGTCAACTCTCTGTCGGCCTCTCCACTCTGAGCTCTGTGTGAGGAGCCAATAAAAGTAATTATTTAACTCAATCCGCGTAAAAGATGTACAGACAATGAAAATAATCACTCAGCAGAATACAGATAGTCCATGCAGGTTACTCAGGTAACGGCTGCACCAAAGCACCAAACAATAGAGAGAAACTCCCATCAGTCAGCGACAAGGCCAAAAAGATTACAGAGAAGGTCTGTTATTTTATACTTTTGTGTGAAAAAAAACATCAAAGAACAGCTTTGATGCTGGTATTTTTTTCTTGATGCAATTCAGAGCATATGTTATTGTCAAGCATATACACTGGATAGATTTTAATGACTTTAATGTACTTGAAGTGGGCTATGCGCACTGTATTATCAAAAAAAATATACAAGTATCGGCAAATACTTAATATTAAATGACTCAGATCGGATCAGGGACTTAAAAAAAGCTGATCGGGACATCCTCAATAGTTAATCAAATATAATATGTGATATAATGATATGGTTCAATATGAATGCATACAGATAGGCATTGCCTTGTTCTTATACATGTTGTCTAATAAGATATCAAGTCAAATATTATTTATGGAACCCAAAATGACAATTTGCCTCAGGGGGCTTTTCAGTCTTTGATACGGGTACGGAAAAACTCCCCAGAAAACCCCTTTAACACTTTTCTCTTTTAAAACAAGAGAAAAATGTGGGTCCTATCTCCAAGAGGTTGTAAAATAAATGTGAAGGTCACAAAATGATCAAAAGGATAAGGGAGAAGAAAAAACATCCCTGCTACATGAAATGATCTATTATTATATTTTTCAGAAGTACTGGATGGTTTTACCTCTTCAGACCTCTGAAATCTATTCAAATTGAGTGTTGAGGGTTGAACTGCTCACTCATCACAACTCTTATGAGACTTGGCAAGTAGACACTGCTCTGTTTTTCAAGTGTCACAAGCCAAAAAGTTTGGAAACCATTGCTTTTAGTGATGAAAAAGTATTTGATAGATGTATGGATAATCAAAAAAAAGTTGGATCCCAGTTTGACCCATTGACACGCTGCCAACTTGCATTATATCAGCCTTCTGACCCGTAGTGTCTATAGCACCAACTCCTCCTCTGTTCTCTCCATTCCAGAAAACGTTTGCGGTGAAAGTTGGCATCTTGTGGGCAACTCCTGCCTGAAATTCATCACGGCAAAGGACTCGTATGACAACGCCAAGCTGGCCTGCAGGAGCCACAACGCCGTCCTGGCCTCGCTGACCACGCAGAAGAAGGTGGACTTTGTCCTGAAGGAGCTGCAGATTATGAGCGTGGTGGTAAGTAGGAGAAGGAGGAGGGTGGGGGAGCAGTCCTGGGTATAAACTCTGGGAAATTGGGTCGTCACACCAACAGCAGATAAGATATCGATAACACTTGTGATACTCAGAGAGTGGTTAAGATAAAATTGGATAAAAACAGCAAGAACACCACATCAGCATCAAGACTGAAGAATTATATAGCATCTAAATGAATAACTGAACAGTTCATAGAGCTTCTTCTTTGATGAATGAGATTTTCATGTTGAAGCAGAAGTTTATGTGTACAGATGCAAAAAGAATCCAACAAGACTGACACACTGATTCAAGAAAGACAACTGCAAACATGCACCAGGGGACCTTATTATGTAATCTCTGATTTATGACCAAAAACTAGACTGTTGTAGACCTTTTTCGTTTTTGCACTTGGATGTCTTTTGTTGTAGTTGCCCTCTTTTGAAATGTTTTTTATTTTTTTCAATCTGCAGGCTAGCTCTGCCTGGATTCTTTTTGTCAGTGATTTTTGGACCAGTGAGCGTGAAACAAATCTTCCATTAACAGATTCTTTCCTTAGAGCTCAGACATCTCTTACCCGCTCCATTAGAGCAAATACGCAGAAATCTATCCCAGCAATCGACTAACCATCGCGGGCTGCTGTTTATATCATCAGATTCAGGTCACATATCTACAGATAGATGTGTGAATGACGGGGACATTTACAGTGTTCGCTTTAATCTCTGCATCAAATGTGTGCTCTGACATAACACACACAGTTATTGCTGATTCTGAGAGTAGCAGCATAGATGCATACATGCTGATTTACTGAATAAGTCCTGGATGTATTTGTCTTTGAAGATATATGTTTTGCTTTGAGTCTTTGATCTCACCCTCTTTTTTTTTTTTTTTTTTACTCGTGGTTGCTTGTAATGTTGATGATCAAGAAATCAAGTGTAAGCTTATATACATATATTCACTGTACACTGAACTGAGTATTGGCTCAGGAGGTAGATAACCACTCAGCTGCACTGAGTAAAAAAGCCTAAATTAAGCTTGAAGTCAATTATGGTTGCACTCATACATTTTATGAGGATGGGCAGAAAAAATAGATCGTCATCAAGAGGGACCATGTTTTTCAGGTTTAATGTAATTTTATACATTTCCTAAGCCGGAGATTTCATTAAATCTGATTACCCAGAAATACTAATCTATTTTACAGAGCAGAAATGATCACGACAAACTAATCATTCTGTGGTTCCAGCTTCTTTAATCTTAAGATTATCTGCTTTACTCTCAAAATCATTGTAAACTGAATATTTTTGGGTTTTCAGACTGCTGGTCAGACAAAATAACATTTGAAGACGTCAACCTGGGTTCTATAATAGACATTTTTTTCTGGATCTTCTGACATTTTATGCACAAATTAATAATTTATCAATTGATTAATCTATAGAATATGCAGCTGAATAAAGGATAATAAAAATTTGTTAATGCAGCCCTAATGTGAAGAAAAGCCTCTTCAAAAAGGAAAAATGTCTTCAGCTAAAATACATTTCATACTGTAACATTTCCTGAATTAATAGACACTGTAGAAGTCTCATTTTTTCAAACTGATGAGGAAAAATGGTTTTGGGAGCCACATTATTGGCCTAATCACAGCTAAATCCATCTATTTATGTATTTCAGTATGTGTCTACCCTTGAGAGCGCTCAAGAGTATTACATAATCCTGAATGTGTCAGAAGCACTGGGAGAGTGCAGCTCTAACGACCCGGTCTGCACTTAAATGAAACATGGTGTCATCTACAGCTGCAGTCCTGCTTTAATATTTTGGTAGATCACCCAGCAGGCACAAACACTACCATCCCTCACTGAAAAATGTAAGCCATCTATGATCCTACAAAGTGCCCCGCAGCCACTGCATGGCATATGTTAAAGCTAAAAAAGACAAAAAACATTTGAATCCAAATGTGAGTGTTTTCCATCCATAATAATGAAGTTGTTTAGATTTCCCTTGTTAGTCTGGATTCATTTCTGTTGGTCAGTTTGTGCTTAAAGGTAGAGAAGAAATCGATATTCTCTGGAATAACATTGGTATTCAAACTGTCCGGTTCAACAATAAAATGCTGTGCAGGCGCAGGGACTCTGAAACATGCTTCACAAGTCTTCCTGCCATGTTATATTGATACTGTTGGTGCTGTTTAGCAGTTCCAACTATTTCCAGACAGGATCAATCAATCTAAGAAATGCAATTAAATCCCGATGGAACAGTAATTCGACCCACGTCTGTGAGAGATCGAGCTCTCTTTGTTTACTACTACTGCAACAGCATGGCCATTGATTAGAGATGGGATGGATAACAGAGCCTCCCAAGTCAAGTGAAGTAAAGCTGCTTTTATTGCCACTCAGTCCATCCAGAGGAATTTATCTCAGTACAGAAGAAGCTTTTTTGTTGCTTACAACCAGGGCAAGGTTGTGATTCTGAAAAAAACACATAAATATCAAAAGCTGTTTTTGGCATTAACACATTAGTCTTCAGCTACTGGCACTTAACTTGCAGTTTGCAACCTTTTTTGAGAACCTTTTTAAAGGGAAAAGAAGGCCAAATGCAACCTACTTAAACATTTTTATCATCAAAATTTAAGAGGCTGAAAACTAAAAAAAAAGAAAACCTTGCACATTGATGTGTTGAAGACCCTTTATTTTAAAGAACAGTGTGTAAAATCTTGGTTTTGACTTTGGCATACTGTTGTGTCTTTGCAGTACAAAGCCACAGTGACGCCCTGGGTGGGGCTCAGGAAAATCAACGTGTCGTACTGGTGCTGGGAGGACATGTCACCCTTTACCAACACCACCCTGCAGTGGCTGCCCGGTGAGCCGAGTGACGCCGGGTTCTGTGGCTACCTGGCTGAACCAGCATCCAGCGGACTGAAAGCACAAACCTGCATCAACCCAGTGAATGGCAGCCTGTGTGAGCGGCCAGGTTGGTTCCCAACACTTAATGAAACTAAAAAACATTTTATTTGCGCTTAACGGAAATAAGGAGAATAGTTTATGCCTGGAACAATTAATTTTCAGCAAATACAGTAGCAAGTAGATTACATGCTGATTCACGGAAACTCACCTGAATAAACAACTAACATGTTCCGGAAATGTCAGGTAAATACTTTGCCATTAAAGGTTTTCTGTACTTGTTTGTAATGTGTTATGGAAGTACATCACTAAACTACTGCTAACCCCTTCAAAGGTCTGCTGTGTATGACTTAGTACCATCTTGCAGTGTAGTTGCAGATTGCAACCAACTCGCCTCCAAGCAATGTTGGAGACATAGAAACTACTGTGGCCGCAAAACTCTCAAAAAACATGAAAGGCTCTATCTCCAGCCAGTGTTTGCTTTGTCCTTTCTGGGCTACTTGGAAACACGGGGGTTCAATATGACATCCGATACTTAACCTTAATAATTCAAGTGAATAGCTCTGCATTGCATTAAGAAAGAAAATCCCTACAAGCTGTTCCTTAATATTTTATACGTAATGTAATAATATTAACATAGCCCATTATTTTTATTTATATTAAATTTAGTAAGCCTTGTTTATCACAGTCCAGTAGAGTTCAGCATGAAGAGAACCACCAGAGGAGGTCTGACTCCCACTGACACATTCATAGTCTAAGGGCCTTGAAGGTAACCTCTTTTAAAATGTTCCTCAGCCAACCACAGTGCCAAACCATGCCGGACACCGTGTGCCATGAGAACCACCTGCAGCGAGTGCACCAGCAGTAGCTCCGAGTGCATGTGGTGCAGCAACATGAAGCAGTGCGTCGACTCCAACGCCTACGTGGCCTCCTTCCCCTTCGGACAGTGCATGGAGTGGTACACCATGAATACTTGTCCACGTAAGTCTTCTTCTTCTTCTCCTTCTCCTTCTCCTCCTCTCTCCGTCCTCTGCTCCTCCCTCCTGCCTCTGCCTCCTCCTTCCTCCTCCTCCTGCCTCCTCCTCCTGCCTCCCTCCTGCCTCTCCTCCTCCTCTGCCTCGTTTACAGGTTTAGTATCGAAAACCATTGGTGATCTCTGTCTACTTTTTGTTTTGGTTAAACACTTAATTATATACACACCTGGAAATAGTTGAGTCTGAAATTAATGGAATACTTGTTTACATATAATACCAAAAAAGGGGATTTAATGGCATTCTGTTTCCTTTCATTATTACCTTCATGTGTATTCTGTATGGTAAACTGAAATTAAACCCCCCCAAAAATATTTGATAGATACAGAGAAGCTGAGTAAAAAGAAATAATTTAAAAAACTCCTGTGACCAGCACGCTTGATGAAAGGGCAGGACATTCTGCCATTACTATGCCCTGGGCATTAAGTCCATCAGTATTACTAGGTGGACATTCTTGTTATCCCTAAAATTAGGCCACCAAACTTCACATCCTTGAATACTTTCCTGGGGAAAGTAAGGAGCAGCAAAACATTACCCTCCTCTTATTGGTACACAAGTAACAACTCTTTGGATTCTGGTTTTGTAATCGTATAAGTTCTTTTCATCCCTTTTGACGTTGACTTCATGTGATCTTCACTCGATACCTCTGTGTAAGAACCTTTTTGCAGTGTTTGCTTTTGCAGCCTTTGGCTTTGGCATCTCTGTTGAGTCGAAAAACCCATTGATTTATACATAAAATGTTTACTTTTAAGGAATGCACAAACTGTTCCTGCAATTTCGTACGCCAGGTTAACAGTCCGTCCCTATTTATTCCAAAAAATTTGCTGTTACTGTAGAATATCACTTCTGTCGACACATGGAAATGGCTTAAAAGCTATTTGACGAATACCGTTTGGTTAAGTGCAAAAGCTAGCATAACGTACCATGCCTCTCAGGGCAGGATTCATGGAGCCTCCATTCGTACTAATTTAAGGAAAAAACTCAACGTATTATGAGTACAGTTAATCATGTAATGTTGCAGTTAATGTTCTCATTGTTTAAATTATGTAGGCAGATCTTCGATTAGACTTGAAAAAAGACCATGCAGACAGGCAGAACTTTCTGAGCAGAGCGCAGTGGTGGTATACTTCATTTATTGTTTCTCCGTATTCGCTAAACGCCCCCAGTGGATGAGATGGTTAATAATCGTGGAGTGGAAACTGCTCCGCTGGGCTTTGTACGCAGCAGAGAACCAAATATAACCCTGGCAGGCCAAAGACAGAGATCGTTGCCAGTACATTTTATTGGTTTTGTTGTTATGTCTCCCTCGAGAGGGTGGAAGCTAGGAATTAACAAATATTGTAATAATGTATGAAGAGCGCAGGGTTTTGGATTGGAGAACCAGTGGTGAGTGTATTTGTTACTGTAGCCCGTAGAGGTGTGTGGGTATTAATTAAAATTGGAAATGCTAGACCACTTACTAACACTAATATACATGAACACTCTACCAGTTTATATTGTGTT